CGGCACGACAAACTGCTGAATGAGAATGTTCTCGGAGATCTTGGAAACGCAGAAATGGCGGTTGGATAACCCCAGGGAAGACATGTTCCACAATCTATTTAGAACAGTTGAAGCCACCGCAAACCGAGAGGACGATGATGAGGATCAAGGCGATGATGATTGCAAGAACAATGAGTTTTATCTTCATGTTCTGAAACCACATCTTTCTTCTCATTTGAGTTCCCTGTGTTCTGAAATCTTGCGCCTGTCACAGTTTTGAGTTTCAAAGTTTAATAATCACAGTGATGGAGAGCTGCAAATTCAAGCATGTCTGTGTGTATGTACTTGGAACCATTTGCATAAGAGAACTAACCTGTGAACGAAGGTTTTCGGTTTTGTCCACCAAGAGCTCAATTTTCTCACCACGGTCAAGAACCTACAAAACGAATGAGTTCAACAACGGATACACAGTCTAAGAACAAGAAAATGTCTTCACATCCATAAAATTGGGACATTCCCTTCGACAGTTAATGCAAGGAATACATACTGTATATAATCAAGAGCTCGTGGTAATTGTGTCAAACTAGCGGAACTATGTCAAAAAGGATGTGTATAGCATAAACATATAAAACAGGGTTAGAGTCTAACCTTCTCAATGTTTTCCATCATTACACCTTTAACTTCAGACACTTGAGCTTTCACCTTAGCAAGCTTGCTAATCTCATCAGGATGATCTATGCAATACTGCATATGCTCTTTCAGTTTCGACCTTTAAGAGCAAGCCAAAAAGGAGTCAAATGACTATGCTCACGAATAAGAGAAACTTTTTTCAATAGCAACCTAAGAGATCAAACAAGTACCCAAACTCTTTATTCAAGCTGTTTGCTTGAGCAGTCGCAGCCTTTCCACCACCGTATCTCTTGTTGAAATCCTCCTTAACTCGTTCCAAGAAGGCCATAGGAATCTGCCTCCCAGCTGAATCAACCGCAACAACACAATAGGCTGCACAACGAAAACAATTTTGTAAATCTAAAGACCGTATTGAGAGATGAAGCAATATATGGCTTGTAAGAGAGTTGAGACTATAATAGTGATATCGACCATCAACACCACCATAAACCCAATCAGGTAATGTAAACAGAACTCCAGTGAATTGCTATATATATTCTCAACTTTACCAAAAAAAAGTCTCATAGTGATTAGAGCCATACTTTGATGACATAAACCATGAAATTGCAAGCAAATCAGACAACCATTAAAGAACATAGCATCATAGATCCAGAACAAGAACTGTTGCTATTCGGAAATAGATCCACCAAACATATCACAGGATTAGATCTAACATCAATTAAAGATAAACACCAAAACGTAAATCACTACCGCAAATTGTAGATTTCATACCAAACATAAGAACTTGATTCCAATAACTCGTAGAGATACCCAAAATGCTCAAACAATGGAATAATCGCACTTGATCTTATGAATATCCACCAAAGAAAAACCCAGGCACAAATCGAAACGAATACTTGTATAGATCGAAGAAAATTTTGACTTACTGAATCCATTTTCGACGAGGTAATTGAAGGTATGACCATCGCAGTTATAGGTAAACTTGTTGTTCGAGGAAGGAAGCTTTTGAAGGCACTGTGCAGCGATGGATGTGAAATTGCCTTTGAAATCGGTGAATTCGACGAGGATTACGGTACCACGAGCGACGAAGCTGTAGATCAACGATTGTTGCGCCATTTCTTTTTCCGGTCAAAAAACGACGCCGGTTCCGATGGATTTTACCGATTCGATCAGAGACTTATATCGGCGTGAACGAAGCTAAAGAGATCTAGAAGACTTAACGCTGAAACGCGTAGAGAATCGAGGACTAAGT